TGCTTCCTTCAGCAGACAGGCTTTATAGGATGCTGACTTCATTGTGTGAGCAGGACTTGGCACCTGCTCACACTGCCAAAAGCACCAAAGCCTGGTTCAATGCCCGTGGGATTACTGTGCTTGATTGGCCAGCAAACTCGCCTGACATGAACCCCATAGAGAATCTATGAGGCATTGCCGAGAGAAAGATGAGAGACATGAAACCAAACAATGCAGAAGAGCTGAAGGCTGCTATTGAAGCATCCCGGTCTTCCATAACACCTCAGCAGTGCTATGGGCTTATAGCTTCCATGCCACGCTGCATTGAGGCAGTAATTGCTACAAAAGGGGACCACACCAAGTATTAAGTCCATATGCATGCTTATACTTTTTCAGAGGTCCGATATTGTTCTATGTACACTCCTTGTTTTATTGATTGCATGTAATATTCTAATGTACTGAGATTGTGGATTTGGGGTTTTCCTGAGCTGTAAACCATAATCATCGCACTTATGACAAATCACAGCTTGAACTATCTTGCTTCGCATGTAATGCGTCTATCTCGTATATTAGTTTCCCCTTTTACGATGCATTACTGAACTAAATGAACTTTTGCACAATATTCGAATTTTTCGAGTATCACCTGTATTTCAGTTTGAACACTAACCTATTGTAAGTATGCTGCTAGTACTCTCACTACCATGCCGTCCAGCTTTACATCATGCTGTTTAATTAATTAATAAATAAATAAATAAATATATAAAAACAGAAAATTACAAAAAAAAACTTTATGCATAAGTGAAAAAAATATACAAACTTATACTTGTGTGGTACCACACAATAAAGAATAAGATACTTACAAAAACAGACAAAATGACACATAGTGTGAACTATAAAATATATAAGGTAAAGGGTTGGGTGGAATATCACTCACATGCTTGAGAGCCATGCCAGACTCTGTATACAGGACTCAAGGGTGAATGCAGAAGGATCCAGTGGATTCACAAGAAAATATTTATTAAACAAATATACATAAAATAATCTCTGGGTACTAAAACATGAATGTGGTTATAAAATATAATTTTTTAATTAGATCCCCCTCACCACCTAATAGTAACCAATGATAACAAGCAGAAAGTATCTATACAAAAGTTTATTAGTATACTAATGTCAGTGAACAACTGAAACTATATGGTAGAATATTGCATATTCTATGTTTCTATTGATTATATATGGATGTGTGGATTGACATAAGTAACAGATGGTATAAGTCACAAGGTTTTCTTGTATGAGAGCTCTGGAATGGAAGTTGGGGGTCTTGTCCTTATATGGCTAGAGTTACACTCTGATGACAGTATGGGCACATCTATAAAGTAACTGAACAAAGAGACATGAGGTCTCTTGGCTCTCTCTCTCGATACAACGATGTAACTCTCCCTTCAGGAGTCCAGCAATTACCATATGCTGTTGAACATCCATGATCATGTAACATCCTTTGTTGTTTTATTATGTATCAGTAACTGGGGCAGTCACTTCTTCCCAGTGCCTAACATCATCAGAGGGGGCCCGGTTGTGCTGTTAAAGTGCTGACCGGGCCTTCTGGAAATACATAGCATCAGGTGGCCCTAACAGCATTGGCCACCCGATGGGCCCCATCAATGCGGCACCAGTTGTTACTCCATGCAGACTGGGGCTGCATTACTTACCCAATGGGACCTGCAGTCGTGGGGGTCCTCAGGGTGGCCGTGACCCCTGGAGTGTCGGGCCCGGTCGCAGATGTGACCCCTGCAACCGTGGTAGTTCTGCCACTGAATACTGCTACAGGTTTTATTTGTTTTTGTGCATGCTAGTTAAGAAACAAATATTGAGAGAACCATAAAACAAGAAATAGAATTGATTTTACAAAATGATGTGACATTGTTTGGTCTAATTATGCATTTGATTAAACCATTCGCAGCAAGAATGCATTCTTCTGTAAGTAGGAATGATCTTTAGAACTTTCAGTGACACTCCTAGAAACATAATGTACAAAATTGTTGTAAAGTCCTTTAAGGCCTAAAAAGTTATTTGTTAAAATAATGTTTCAAGTAAAACTTGTAATACAACAGCAGATATGCAGCTACCAAAAGATACAAATACGCCTACAGTTGTGATAAAGAATGAAGCCGTAATTCTTTTAACATATTCTAACAATATTATGGTAATATATTATTACAATATCTTGGAATTACTAATACGAGGGATCAGAAAGCTGTTCAGTGCAAATGAAATGGGAAAGGGTCTAAGGGCACCTGGGGCCTCCTCACATAACTTGCACATAAACAACTGAAATGTGTGGATCCACGGATCAACTCATGGTGGGACCCCTAGGTCAGTGCATTGACCATGGGAATCTCGTTCATTGTATTCTGTTTAACTGTGGCTTTTAGATAAAATTTAAATTTTGACTTGTTCACAACAACTTGTTGTTTTTGAGCTATTTACATCTGTAAATATGGACTATCTTCCAGGAGATGTCTTCAATAGATTTGAAGTAACACCAGTCAACCAACATCTTTGTGATGCTAATAGTAACCCCATGTATAGTATTGGGTTTCCCCCATGGTCCCAGGTCAGGTTTAGGCCATCATTCACCATTAAGAACTGTACTTAGGAAGTCATTGAAATACTTTATGTGGAATGGTTCACAGTACATTTCTGAGAAAGGGAGGGAACATGTGTTTAGCTAGGGTTGTAGGACTGACTTAAATAAGTATGAATACCCACTTCCTGTTCTCTGAAGAATTGCCCACAGGGAGGAGCTGTTAAGCTTAGTGAAGCCTAGCAGTCATTTTCACACAGAAATACAGCACATACCTGCAACATTTAGAAGGTATCCAGAGAATGTGAGTGAACAATTGCTACCTGTGGCACTGAAGGAATTACCCGTTCACAGAGGACACATTTTGAACTAGTGTAAAGTGTGTGCTTGTTTTTCTGCCCCAAATTCTATTATAGTATAAACAGTTGTTTATGGTACTTTTGTCAAATAATAGAATCGCCTCCTCAGCCCTTGAATCTAATTTCCAAAATGATGGCTACATATACATTTTCTGAGTCTACGTTACAGTAGATTAAGTGTTTTGTTTAACATGGGTGGCCTGAAGTAATTCCCCCTGACCTTTAGACATATTTTACAAGGAGGAATGAAATTGTGCATGACTCGGGTTGTCTTTTCTTGGATTCACAATCACTTTGCTGCAAACATACTTTGCTGCTGACTTTACGAAGCTCACATCATGGTGTAGTAAAAATGAAGCAAAAAGGATACATTTGGTGGCCTACATTGGATATAGATATTTATTCTTATATAGATACTTGTAATGCATGTGCACAGATTGGATTTCCAAGCATAAACATAGAAAAAAAGAAGACTCCAATAGTGTAGTATGCAGTATATATAACTTTTATGTAAAGTATTGCTTTTTAAGCTCATCTTATTTAAAGCCCACAAATCCTGGCTCTGAGGTTGAATGCATGTTGCCAGTTTGGGGGCTGGCAAAAACCCAAAGAGGAGCACTTCTGGTACTGGAACCATACAGGACCATAAAACAGTGCTGGGCATATTTAAAAGGTTTATTAACCAAATAGAATTAAATGCGCTTATTAGCAGAAAATAAAAGCAAATAAAATAAAACAATTATAGCAGGAGTCCATATAGTGGGTGCCAAAACATGTTTTGCTTGGTTGAGCTTCCTCCGTTATATTTGTAACTATAAGTAGAAAAAAAAGTAATATATCATAACAATTATGTTAAATAATAGTTATTATATTCATTTACACGATATATACTTACTATAATTTAGAACAATGGCAGATCTTTATTTTTAGACATAGGAATACACTGGAAGAAAATACTATAGCAACATTATTAGTAAGAGTTGAATAATACATATTTATCTGTTCCTTTTCCTCCTCTCCTTCTTCAGGTGTTATCTTACTGGAGGACGCATCCCATGGAGCCTGTATTATGGGGTGAGGCCATAAGAAGGATGGAAGTATATATATATATATATATATATATATGTTTTATATAGCACCTGTTCACAATTAATTTTGGAGAGTTGAAAAAGGGTTACTTCCACACAAGTGTTTTAGAGTTGCTTTTAATCACTATTGGTAATGTGTAAGCGCTAATTTTAAGAATGCACTTCCTTGTCTTAAGAGTTTATTTTTTGTTACACCATTACCCAAGAATTCAGTTTTCCATAGGCAAAGAAAATCCTTAAATATCTAGGTACAAATCTAACCATTACTTACTCTGACTTGTATAAAGCAACTATGTTACTTTATTAGACATAACCTATTTCTATTTCTGGTCTCTTTATTCCTCGACTGAAATATTTATTTTTGTCTTATGTGTCGCATTCTAAGCATCGCCGAATGGCAAATAAGATACTTACTGGCCTGAAAGAAAGTGGAGGGATGGGTCTCCCGTATAGGTTTCATTATTATTTGGCCACTGAGACTCTTAGAGTAGACAAATTCTATTGTTCGTAAGTCCTGGTAAGTGTTCCTTTAAATACATTACTGTGGCAGGAGAGTCAAATACATTTAATACTTAAATCCTCTGAACCCTTAGATCTGAATTTTTTCGGTGGACATTGGCAAATCCTTCCCTTTTAAATCCTCCCCTACCTAGTGGAGCTTGTATGGGACACAAAAATAAAAAACACAAGGCTGTCAAGAAGCCACTGAGCTGAGACAATGGAGAACTGTTCCAAAGCACAAAAAAGGCTGCATGGGACAATATGGTGCTCCTGGACGAGGGATTTACATGTTCCTCTGAGCATTTATCCTATGACTCTGTTGAGGGAGCATCAGCCTCCGGTGCCTGCAGATTTGGACCCATTCACTGCCGCTCAGCTAAAAGTGCTGCTGGCTGAACTCTGAACAGATCTTGATGGGGACATGGCATGTTAAAAGAAGGCCGTACAAGAGCCGAACATTGTACTAACGATTCACGGTTCTCCAAGGTTGAAATGAAGATTGCGGAGCTCCAGCAGCAACAACAACAGGCTGAGGGAAGAGTGGATGACTTAGAAGATGCATGGAGGCGGTACAACTTGAAGCTCCAGTGTGTACCTGAATCAGTAGGGCCTGAAGACTTCCTCATTATCTTCAGAGGTTTCTCGCAGCCTTCCTGCCTCCCAAACCAGCAGGTGCACCACCATCTGTAGGTCCAGACCTTATTGTCCGCTTTCAATTGCTGGAAGACAAGACCCTACTCCAAACAGTGGTCCGTGGGAAGACTCCTATATCTTTTGAGGGTTCCACGATTCAACTCTTCCCAGACCACACTAGAAATAGTGTTGAAGACTACCACAAGCCCTCTTGCTTACGACACAGGGTGTAACTCATCAAGTGGGAACCTATCAAGACCTGGAAGCACAGATGCACAAGATGGGCCTTCTTGCCCTGACTGGATTCAGAGGGACAGACCTGAACTGCATTGATCCAGCACAAGTCTTGGAGTTTACTCCCCGATCAGCACAACCTTCCATGTCCTCACAAACTGGGACCAGACTACCAGAATGGCGGCAAAGTGGGAATGATATATCCTGGCTATTTTTATTCTTGGTTTAACCTTATTATTAATTATTATTGTATTATTTATATAGCACCAGCAAATTTCATAGCGCTGTGCAATGTTCCCTAGTCCACAGTGCCTCACCATGGTTTTCCTTTTTGCTCATTGCTACATATGCAATTGTAGGGCAGCTTTCTACATTTTGGCATAATGTTTACAAATGATCATACATATGACCTGGTTTGATGGGCTCACTACTTAAAGGACCACTCTAGGCACCCAGACCACTTCAGCTTAATGAAGTGGTCTGGGTGCCAGGTCCAGCTAGGGTTAACCCATTTTTTCATAAACATAGCAGTTTCAGAGAAACTGCTATGTTTGTTTAAGCCTTCCCCTATTTCCTCCTCTAGTGGCTGTCTCATTGACAGCCACTAGAGGCGCTTGCGTGCTTCTCACTGTGATTTTCACAGTGAGAGCACGCCAGCGTCCATAAGAAAGCATTATGAATGCTTTCCTATGTGACCAGCTGAATGCGCGCGCAGCTCTTGCCACGCGTGCACATTCAGCCGACGGGGAGGAGAAGAGGAGGATCGGAGGAGGAGAGCTCCCCGCCCCGCGCTGGAAAAAGGTAAGTTTTTACCCCTTTCCCCCTTCCAGAGCCGGGTGGGAGGGGGTCCCTGAGGGTGGGGGCACCCTCAGGGCACTATAGTGCCAGGAAAACGAGTATGTTTTCCTGGCACTATAGTGGTTCTTTACTTACTTCTAGTTGAACAATATTGCTACACATTTCAGGGTGTGCATCCCCATGGGGGTGGTTCACTACCATAAGCATTATAGTCCTTTGAATACACACTAGGAACCCTAAGTGGCACAACCCTCGTTCCACCCTTCTATACACGACTGACGTTAATATCTACTTTTCTTTCTCCTCTTGTGATAGCCTCAACTGTAGTATTGATGCACTGAAGCTTTTTATATGTATATGTTTTATGATTCACAACTTTGTTCTTCATGGTGGAATGAGAAAAATTAAGATTAAAAAAAGAATGGAGACAATATTAAGCGAAATGTCCCCTGGTATTTCTCTCTTGTGCCCATTAACGGACAATCCAGATTTTGTATTGAATCAAGGGTTTCCTGTTTCCAGAGGGCTTGATCATTACCATATCAAAAGACTTCCAGGACACGTCTGTGTGACTTCCCACACCCTACAGAATAGCTCTGCTGGAGTACAAGCTTCAAAGAGGGACTGGGGTTCTAAGCTAGGACATTCAATGCAATCCAATTGACCCTTTTTGAAATGGAAAGGTACTTTTGAGGTATGTTGTATGTTTTTTTTTTTGTATCTGGGGATAATTGAGTTGTACTGTTCCTGGCTCAATTATCTACCAGACACAGCGAGGCCGGGGCGGACTTATGTTTTGGGTTACTTTGAAAGTGAGATTTCAGTGGTAAAAGAAAATCTTATGGCTCACCTGGTATGTGTATTTGTGTTTAACATTGCATTAACTATCCACTTATTTCAGGTGGAAGGGGTTTTTATCCACACTTTTTTTCCCTGCCACCACTTATTTGGTATGTACTTAACAAGTAACGACAAGCCTCTATAGCAAGCCAGTAACCTATTTCATGCTGATGAGTTGAAATAAAAACAAAACAGCTGTCCATGAGTGGTTCACTGTCATTGCACCTCTTCCTGAGTTGTGTTTCAAAGCTGTTGCATGCAGCAGACACATACTCCAAGAAATCCATGTATAATGTGGAATTATGAGGCAAAAATGTAGTTCTTTGTTGAGCTCATTTGCATACACCTACCCAGAATCCCTTGCAGTAGTGAGATCATTGTTAAAGTGATATTTCTCTGGGAAAAGCAAGTCTTATGGCTTGTCTGGTGTGTGTATTTGTGTTTAACATTGCATTAACTGTGTATGTGTGTGTGTATATATATATATATATATATATATATATATATATGTGATCATATACAATAAGCCGAGTTATAGAAAAAATGGTGTAAGTCGGTTGTTGTGTGCTGGAACCAACGTTCGGGTAGGCCTATAAAAGAGGGACCACCAAGATGAATGGCTTATTAAAGGGAGTGGTGGGTGGGTTGAACCAGGCAGTCTCAGCCTAGAGGAAGGGGAGGTCTGTGTATTTATAAGTCGAGGAACTCCTCCCACAACTTCAGGCTTGATCTAATGGCTCACCCTTCTCATTTGTGGTCGTATACAATAAGCCGTGGTATAGTAATGGTGGTGTAAGTCAGTTGTGGTGTGCTGGAACCGATGTTCGGGTAGGCCTGTAAAAGAGGGCAAAAGGTTTAAAAGTTTATCACTGCATACTTGTTGACATTACATAACCAATACTTAAATGCATGTCTCAATTCCCTCTTAGGTTGAGGGATATACATGGCATATGCAGATGACTCTACTGTCCCAGCCATTAGATGATGTGTACTGGGATATTACTTGAGGTAGTAGGAGCATTTTTTTAGAATGACCTGAAAATGTTAACATTTGTATTCGAATAACTTTAAGGTGTTAAAGGTTGAGGTGGCAAAAAAATATATGAACACCACCATGGAATCGAATGAGTATGGTTTGATGATTTCATATGCGGAAGTGAGTTTATTGAAAATGTCCAGAGCCCAGTGCATGAACAGGTGGCATTGGCAGAGAGTGTTGTGTGTACCAGCAATTAAATTCTGGAATGTAGGGGTTTGGTATGTCATTTGGCCACCATGGGGAGAGGTCGGAAGAATACGACAAATTGTGATTGAGTCACCTCATCAGTTGCTATGTTGTGAAAGCCTGGTATGGGTATGTGAACAAAGTAGAGTTTTTGTGATGCTGCCAGCCAGATCTCTTCCTAATGAACTTTATTATTGTTAGTGAGGGGGACTGACGGGTAATAATTCCCATGCTGCTGATTTACTAAAAGAGGGTAGGTTCCGTATCACTATGGGAAATGTGTCCGACCCAGTTAACTATGAAATTGGCTGCAATCCAGTGTGTGTAGCTGTATTAGTCCAGAAATGAGGGACAATGGTGGAGTGAACATGGTTTGCCTTTTCTGGTGGGATAGAAAGTTTAATGAACAGGACTGCTCAAGCATGTGTCGAATGTAACAGCGCTATTGTTGACAGGTGAACCCGGGAGCAGGTTAAGTGGATGGCAAATTAATGAGCTAACTTGTGTATGGTGTATGGTAAAGTTCAGCAGACCAAGGAGAGACTTGAGATTCATATGGGAAACAGGCATCGTTGCCCAGAAAGGATTTTCCCTTTCCCTGATATGCTGGACTTAGTCTGCGGGGAGGCTGAACTTCAAGGAAATAAAGTCTAATGTATTTCCAGAAATTAAAATTATTGTAGGGACTAAAGGTTGATTGAGACAGCGGAGTTCCAAAGGATGTACCAGATACAAAAGACACATCTGCTTCAGGGAATAGCATTCGTTTCGATAATCGTTGCAGTCCTGTAGATAATGTATTACTGAGGGACAGTACTGATGTACAAGAGGATCCTACAGAGATTATGCAACTATATTGAATAGTTGTGGCATCCAAGCGTAAGACGGGTGGCAAAGTAGAATTCTCTGTTTGCTATATAATGTGTAAATGCCACTGGGAGCAACTTGAAGATGAGGAATGTGGAATTTTCCTAGTCAGGCTGCTTCCATGGCCCTTAAGATACCATGGCCTAATATCATGGACTAATGCTGAGAACTTTAAAGAACGAGGTGCAGATAATAAGATTGAGCAGATATTATTGGGATTCCCATTGATTAGGCTACTATGGTAGGTGCACCCGCAAATAAAAGGGCTGTCAAAAGGGCCCCAGCAAGAAATCCATACTTGATTCTCCCACTAATAGTAATTAAGTTGAATGAGTCTTAACCAGTAGATTGGAGGTTAGGACAAACCCTAATATCTAACAGAAGTGAAATGACACTTGTGCAGAAACCTACTGTGAAACCTGTAATTAGAAACTTAACTAGAGGAGGGGGAAGTGTGAGTATTGAGGAAGAAGCCTCTTAGTGACAAAAGTTGAGTACAAATACGGAACAGTCAGATTGTACCATCTGTGTTCCCTAGCTTTGAACTACTGACAAGTGTTGTAGCTATGTCCTTCCAAAGGACAGGGGAACTTTCTGTACAGATAATAACATTAGACGAGGAAATATGTGCTGGATAGCAACTGGCCATATAATTCTGAGGAGATGGAAGTAAGGAGCATGATGTAGGGTACTACATGGGATGGTAAGATGTCCAAAGTCAGGAGATTCTAAATGTCACTAGTGTCAACAATTGTTCATGTTCCTGCTGACTTTAAACATGCCACTGTAGTACCTATTCTGAAAAAAACATCTCTTGACCCATCCTCCCCCTCTAACTATCATCCCATATCCCTGCTCCCTTTCTCATCAAAGCTTTTGGAAAGACTTGTCTTTACCCTTGTGTCTCGCTTCCTCAATTCCAACTCTGTCCTTGACCCTCTTCAGTCTGGCTTCCGCCCTTTCCATTCTACTGAGACTGCTCTTATCAGAGTTACTAATGACCTAATCGCAGCTAAATCCAAAGGTCACTACTCCATATTAATTCTCCTTGACCCCTCTGCTGCCTTTGACACCGTTGATCATGCTCTCCTCCTTCAAACTCTTCAATCGCTCGGTCTCTGTAACTCTGTCCTCTCGTGGTTTGCCTCCTATCTCTCCCAACTTTCATTCAGTGTCTCCTTTTCCAAGGATACCTCCTCCACTCGTCCTGTCTCGGTTGGAGTTCCCCAAGGCTCTGTCCTTGGTCTCCTTCTATTTTCTCTTTATACTGCCTCTCTTGGCAAACTTATTGCCTCTTGTATTCCATTACCACCTGTACGCTGATGACACTCAGATATACCTCTCCTCCCCGGACCTCTCCCATGCCGTCCTGCAATGTGTCACTGTTTGCCTTTCTTCCATCTCTGACTGGATGTCCTCACGCTTTCTGAAACTCAATATCTCTAAAACTGAACTCCTTGTCTTTCCTCCTCCTAATACTGATCCTCCTCTCTCGCTCT